TTATCAACTAATTGTCCCTACAGTTCAGTTTAGATCGTGAAAGAAAGAAAGGAAAGAAATTTGCACGATCTAAGCTGAAGGTTTAGGTTCTATAGGTTGCGTAGTTCTTAGCTTGATATCGAAACATTAAAGTTTATCGTTTTTCGTTTTACAAACTTTAAATTAAACGAGGTGAAACATACTGCGTGTTAACAACAATATTTTATCCATGTAGCTGTGTAGCAGTAACTATAGGCACAGTAGATACTTATTTTAGAACGGAAGTTAGGGGGGTTATGCGACTTAGTTATTGACTCATCTTCGCATATAGCATAAAAAGTGACGATTCAATAAACGTTAAGTAAATTAAATATCTTAAAATTAGGCACCCTATGTATATAATGTAATAAATAACTACAGATCGCGGTGTTAATTTTTAATCAGAGCATTTAAAAAATTTATGCTCTATGAAAAGCAGAGAAAATTGTTTAGAAAATGAAATGAAAGGAAATTTATCTTCATGCGACAAATGAATGTTGCAAATAAACATTCATTTCGGAACATCATCGAAATCAAACTTTGCAAAAAATAACAAATCCATTTACCCTTGATTGGTATCATTTATAATTTATATTGCTTAATTTTGAAATTTTTGATTCAATTTTATTATTAATCTATTAAAAAAAAAGATGTAAAATAAAATTAAATAACTTTAATTTTTGTAACATAATGCAAGTTATTACAGCCATCTATGACCCACGATGTCACGTAAGGGTTAATAATATTTCATCAAAGGAGTATCGAATATTAGCCATATATATTTAAAAATAATTTTTCTTCAGGTACTCCATATTAATTAATAAAGTTTCTCATCCGCAGTAAGTATAATATGCTCTGTACAATAACACTCCACCGCGAGACATTCATCAGTCATTTTACATTCGAAATTACATTCAAAATATTCAAATGCGTATATTTAAATGCGTACACCTTATAACATCTGCTTGGAAAATTTACGATGTATGTACGATTATTAATAGAAGTTTGACTTGCTATCACAATACATACGTACTTTACTTAATAGGAAACGTGTAAAATATCACAGATTAAATTACGTATATTTAGTATTAATCATACACTGATTTTAGAAGATGCATAAAAGTGTACACACACACACACATACACACACACATGAACTCTTTTGTCGACAAGTGAATCTCTGTTGTTAAAATTGGACGTTTGTCATTCAAAATATAATTTTATAACAGAATATAGCTTACTCTAATTAATCATAATGAATAATCAAGTGTCATTATTTACTTACTTTATGTATGAAGTGACTTTATTTTTTCATTGGCATAAAATAAAATGTACGGAAATTAAATTGGGGGGAAAAAACTAACCTAGAAAAAACTAAACTGATTTTTTTATGCTATCTGTCAATTTGACAATATTCTTTTCGCACAGTATCTTATGTTTAACACGGACAAATTCTTTCATAACTAGGATTTTCAGAGATAAAACATGTGAAACTAAAGAGGTTTGAATCATCAAATTCATTAATAACAAAAATAATATTGACGATGCTACCTTTTGAATAGCACGTAACACTTTCTGGAAACCATTTTTTTCACATTGTTAAAAATAACACTGATAGCTAGATGGATATGCTGTGGTCACGTCGTATAAAAATATTGCGAGTCATAGAATTTGTTATTAATTATTAAATATCTATGAAGATGTTACGATAAATGTAATTATGAAAGAAGGTGAAAACGAAAGGTAAAGATAATAACGATGTAAGTATTCAAAAATACAATGAAAATAACTTTCTCAATTTATTGAGTATTGGTAGAGAAATTAGTAGGAAATACGTGTTAGACGAATAAAACATAATAAAGTGGAAGGGGTAGATTTCGAAAGGAGTGGGAAATAACGGGCGTTACAACGTCTGCGAGAGTCGTGTCGTTACTTCCGAGCACGTAACATCTTATAGGATACCCTGTAAGTTCAGGTACAAGATATTGCAATTCTATCATGCCAATTTACATTTCCTTGTATTTATGTATGCTTGTGCTGCCTTTTAAATTTAAATTTATACATTAACTTAAATTAAAATTTGTTTCAATAACAATTGACACAATCAACAAACTATCTTTAATGAGAAGTGTTCAATTGAAAAGTGAAGATTGCACAATGACATCATGGTACTTATTTTGCTAGATATATTGCTAGATATATTGTTACAATTTGCAACTATAATTCTCTATCCCAAAATTTTGTTCTGTAAGTTTGTAACTTTGCTGAAAGTTATAACTAGAAGATATGTGTAAAATGAAAAATTTGTTCTCTATTTCTACCTGTGGTTTTTTTTTTTTATTAGCCTAATTTGCATTTGTCATCGCATTATCATTGTTTATTAAATTATCTTAGCGATTTATTAAGCTCTTGATTTTTGAATCTATTACATCTACATTGTGCTAAGTAAATTTAATTAAGAACTAAAGAAATTTAATTTAGTTGTGTGTTTTCTATATATTTCTACATTAATATGAACTCATTACTTATTATTTTCTAAAGGTTTACAATTTTCATTCTAATATTTTTAACAATTTTATATTGTAATTAAAATCTGGTTATTTAATTATTATAATTAATGCTTGTAAATTATATACATTATGTGTAATATAAGTAATGATTAAAAAAATCTCTAATAAATCTGAAATCACTATCTTTGTTGTGAACTGTGAAAAGATGGTTTAATTGAAATTTGATTTTGAAATCGATATCATTATTTTAAAACTATGCCTGCAAGCTAAATTTGGTAGTTCTTACGTAACATGTTAACGAACGCACTCTCATTCCCTGAATATATGTACTTACTTTTTAAAGTTCGTAAGAAAATGCATCATAATTTAATAAATAATTAAGCCTTTTCTAAGATTTATGTTAATAACGATATAAATGATGAATAAATTAATAATTAACAAGTATTAATGATAATGACAACAATCATACTAATAATACTAGCAATGATAATAATAATAATAATAATAATAATGATGATAAAAATAACGATAAAAATAATAATAAGGATTTTTATAATTATCGTGTTCCAATAAGCATTTCTAAAATATTTGATATTTTTTGCATTTGATGAATGTTTCAACACTAAAAATATTATTTAAGTAGTTTTGTGTATTAAATATTTGATTAAGTATTGAATTTAGATTTCTTTATTGGTAATTATAAATTGGAAATAAAGTTTCATTGACAGATTAATTTTATTTTATGACACATGATTATAATTACTTTACATACATAATTAAAACTCACGCACAACATATATAAACAAAATTTAATATATGTTATAGTTTCAATATATTTTACAGCAAAATTAGATAGAATACTGATTTTATTATTATTATTCCAAGCACGATATGTTCGTCTCTAAATAAATAAAATTTTTTAAATAAATATGATTACATAGGTAAAATAATTAAATGACTGTTTGAATAATTGATTTAATGACATTAATTTTTCATGACTTATTTTGTAATTTCTTACTAAATTTAAATATTTATTACACGCTGCAAATTTTAATATTATTAATTTATTAGTAAAGTCAGAAAGTCTTTAACTTTTATTAAGAATAGAAGTTACTGTATTATCTGTTGCTGTACAAAGTATACAAATATGTATTGTAAAAGACTGTTGAAAGTATATAATATAAATATATATTTATATATTTAATCTAAAAAAATTTAAATATAATATCTTATACCTTTTATGTCTTCTAATCGTGCTAGAAAGAAGTTTAATTGTAAGATTTAGTTTTGTATGTTATACATACTATTTATATAATTTAATATTTATAATTTTTGCTAGATTTTAATATATCATCAAAGATCTCGTAATCTATTTTAACTCTATTTTTGACTTGTTTATATTGTTTCTGTAACATCACATAAACACCAGACATAATGTAGACACTGGACATTTCTATCCATTTGTGTGATACTATCTTTCACATTATTAAAAATAGTAATTTCGTAAAAAAAGTAAAGATCTTCATAAAACTTTTACCTTTATTCGTTGTATATCGAAGTTCTGTGATATTATATTTCTGAACTGAAACAATTAATAACTTGTTACACATTTTACATAATTTTAAGTTTTTCAAAAAGCATGGAATATAAATATAAAGAAGAAAATCATCCTTGAAAATGTTAAGGAAAATTCGTAAATTATTATTCATAATTATTATAAATAATCGATGGATTTCATCATTCCAAACAATTATAAAATACACATAACATATTAGTAGTGTAAAAATTGTATACCATGTTAATTAAATATTTATGTGAGTAAAATATAAATTAACACTATGCGATAAAACAAGTTTATAGCTACATAAATTAATTATGTAATATTTATTATATATATTGCTGTCTTACAACATTGATACTTTAGATAAAGATTGATATTATTTTAATACACCAAATATGTTTTATTTTTAAAACATACATTTTAAATAAAATTCTAATTATAGCGATGTTTCCTTTATAATTTTTCACTATTGTCTATTTTTATTATATTTTTATATTTTCAGTATAAAAATTAAATATTCCATATAAAAAAATCAATATTTTAACCTAAGTTACACCTATCAATTTAATGATGCTTGTGATAAAATTTTCATAACAAAAATTATTGCTTTTTTCTTGACTTTGATGTACTTTTGTTGTGTAAAGTGAAATGATTAGATTAGGAGAAAAGTATATGAAAAAACAAAGTAAATAAACAAAGAGAAAAGAGAGAAAAAAACAATAGGGTCATATATATTATACTTTGTAATTGGAGGCGGTTGTCCGGGACTTGAGAGTACTTACTATGTGCCAGTTCAGTTCACGGACACCAAATTAGACATGGTCTATTTTTGACTAACTTATAGTTGCTCTCTTGTTCCAATTTACTGGTTAGTCATTCTAGAAACTCTACAGTAATATTAAATAAGAAATTTTTAATACGCCCAGTATTTTTTATTTAAAGATTTTTCGAAACAAACAGATTAAATAATAAAAAAAACAGCAATAGTAAATAAATGTTTCCAAAAATTATTCTATTACATTTCCACTTAATCAGTAGCATATTATTAGAAGTAAAAACTTGTGATATTTTGTACTTCGCTTCTTATCATTATTTCCAATAAAAAGTTATTAAAAAATAGTCATACTTACAATGAAATGGCCATGAATAGCTTCTAATTCTTTTTTGCAGTGTTTCTCATTTGAGCTTACTAATTTTATATTATAGTTTACTTTGATAAAAATAGTTTTTCAATTTGATGGCAAATTAGATACGTTTCAACTAGTTAATACTGTTATGCATTGCCAATTGGAAGATTATAACGTGAAAATAACATGATTTGGCAATCTGCCTTATGGCTTATTGTATTTTAATTTAAGATTGTAGAAATACAAAGATATTTATGTCACCGTATTTAACACTGGCACAAAGCGCATACAATACACATATAATACTTTTGTTGCTAAATTTTTGTTAAAATAATTTTAATACTTTTTATTATTACTAAATTTTTGTTAAAATAATTTTCGTTGTTTCTAGTCTTTAAAAAAGTTTCCTATTCAAACTTCTCACTATTTTTACATCCTATATTAACTCTTTATTTTCCATAATTCAAATTATAATTAATAGGAAAATTAATAGAAAAAATAAATAGGAAAAGCTTTGCTAACTATTATTTCTATTGATAAAGTCAATAGATTTCATTTGTTTCAAAATACATTTTTGTTTGTACTTTTATAAAAAAACGATAAATTTGTTTGTCACATTTCATTAAACAAAAAAATTAAAATAACAAACTAACTTCATTAACTTGATGATAAAGATATGAACGAATAATACAAGCATTGTATCAATGTTGTGTAAAGATAAAGAGAAATGACATTTCAATTGCACATAAAAATTAAAATTCTGTATGTAAACTATTAATCTTGTAAAATATTAATCTTGTATAGATATTTCATATTTAATAATTGCATTTTAAAATAGTTATACATTAATAGTGATCAAAATATTTCGTAATTAATGTAAAGTTATAATTAATAAAAGTAATACATATCATACTAATTTATCGCAATAAAATTAATATACAGTAAAATATTCAAATTATACATTATATAGGGTGTCTTGCATCATTCGTATATGTAAAAATGAATTGAAAAGAAAATTTTTTAAGTATACTGGAATTAAATTAATTTCTGAACTGAATAGAAGCGAATAACATGCAGATTATTTTATCTGAGAAAGTAAATGAAAAATCTAGAATATAATCTTTTAGATAAAATGTTTTATTTCCAAGAAAATTTACCAAGTACGCGTGTACAAGACAATTTTTAACTCATTATATATAAAGTCTATTTTCTCGAAAAAGGAGCCTTAAACAAAAAAATTTTATTCCATTCTAGTTACACTTCTAATTACTTATTTTTGCAACATATTAAAAAATTATGAATTTTAACCAGTGACAAATTTCATGACGTTGCTATATTGCTTCCTTTAGAGATGCATTCAAATATGATTTAACATTCAAACATTAATACTCATCAAAACAATCAAACTTGGTAATTTTATTTTTTATGGAAGTAGTAATAATAATAATTTTTTAAAAAGTTTTTATTATAACAAAGAATAAAATGTTTAATCAAATATAATAATTTTATAAAATTTACATTCTTTGTTTGTTCTATTTTATTTTCAATTTTTTTTAACATTTTTTTTACTATGATAAGACAGCTATATTAATTGTCAAAATTATTTATAATAAATTAAATATATATGTAATAAATAAATTAAATATATTATATTTTAGGTATATTTACTATAAATAAATAAATTAAATACATTATATTATATTATATACTATATTTCATTATATTTAATGTTTAACATCATACTCTGCAATATGTCAATTGGTTACAGTTTAAATTAACATAGGAATTAATATGCTAGAAAACAAGCTCTTAATTTTGAACTTGATTAAATGTTTAAAATGAACGGATGTTCACCAAAGTACTCATTTATTATATTAACATTATATTAACAATAATATGAATATGATCACAAATTTAATGGAAATGTGTATTGGTCTAAATGCACTATTAAATACTATGTACTGTGCATAAATTGCATCACAATTCTATGAAAAGATTAATGTTTTTGTTACGTTTGTATTTACAATTATAATTGATAAACATTTTTCATCAAATATTCTACAAAGTTTAACATAACTACATCATTCAAATTTTATATTTACTTCTAATAAATAGCACATACTTTATAAAATGTGTATATGCTATTCCAATGTGGCTAGAAACACATCTTAATCTGACAAACAATATCTCAACTTGAAATCACTCTGTTCAGCCTAGTCTAATTACAACATTAACTATACTTTTTGTTAATATCTTATATGTGTCAAAATGAAATTAAAGAGATTCGTGTGAATTGCATTTTATATTGCAATAATTTAAAGGTATCCGACTACTCGTGCACAGTAGTGTATAAAATCGGTTCAAATACTGAATATAGATCAAAATTCAAAGCTTGAATTTATACTACAAAAAAGTATATGATTCTATAAACTGTAAATTCTTTGTATTTATCAACAAACCAATAAAAGGATAGCGAGTAAAGAAGAAAGATCAAATGTACCGTTGCCACGTGGCGCCACCAACGAAACACCCTCCATACGAGCGTGTTAAAGCTTAAAGATGTCCTTTGCGAATAATTTCTAGGGAATTTCGTTGGTTGACAGTGATTTATGACAAACTGTTGAAATTTCAGATAGCGAAGGAGTAGCTCTTTGAAGATGTCGAGGCCAATCCTTAGCAGGCCACGTACACGCGTGTATGGGTGTAATTACGACAAAGGAGAATCATATTACAAGCCAATGGTCGATCACTTGGATCGAAAGTACAGCTCTCGGCCGCTTTTCTCCGAGCCAAGAACCTCATTGGCTGACGAGATCGCAGCCCGACGCGGCGACATCGGTAACATCTTCAGTCGTTTTCCAAAATGGTTTTAACGGGTGAACTTGTCCTTATTCCCCTATTCCTCAACTATTACCGATATAGTGGTCGGTAACTCTTTTCATTGTCAGTAAGAAAAATGCTGGATTACTTTTCGATAATATAGATAATCAATGAGTGGCATGTCCGATCCAAGTCCCGATGTGAAGTGAATCGAATGTATATTACGCGTCTGCTGTTACAGACACAACAAAATTTTACTCCATAGAGAATCATCGTAAAAAAAAAAAGGAAGAAAATCTGCCCTAATAGTAAAATAAAATAAAATAAAATCGTGACATAAAGCTGTATCGTCTAATGATTTATTATTTATCCTGTGACACGTACGAGTAGTACGAACTTCTATTATTATATGTTTAAACGTCATTTCTCCGTGCAAAAGTGCAAAAGTGAAATTAGTTTTTCGTGAAATAGATATACGTAGTTTAGAATCATTCATTCGTATCACGAATAAAGTAAATAAAGTAATTCTTATTACTTGCGTGCTCTTTTGTATATTGTAAAGTAAAGATAAGGTACATTATCACTAGTTTAGTTCAACTATAATCCCTGTTGCAGAAATGTAATAACGTTGTATGAAACTACACGGAAGCAAGCTAATACATATGTTTGTTACTTACAGTTGCACTACATTTTCAGTTTTGTTTTAAAGGAGCTACTCGAAAGTCGATAATTTTTAAAAGCGACACCACTATTACCGACAATGAAAACGTAGCATTGGTATTAATGCTTTGATTGCCCAATGTATTTATAATTGTACGTCATTGAAATTCATTTGTATTTATTCTTTTACTTTGCTTTTTTTCATGCTGACTTAATAAATGCGAGAAATCAACATTGAACTTGAGAACAAAAAAATGAAATAAAATATACTTATATCTCTTTCTCTCCGAATAAATATTGAATTTAATTATCCAGTGAAATATATACCTTTTTCATTTGAGTGTATGTATTTGGAAAAAATAATTATCCTATTGGAAACATGGACTATGCTTATTTATTCACTTCTGAATGATTCTTATTTGATCAAAATAGAGGACAAATTGCAGAGGATTTATCAGAATAGAAAATAAAAATGAACGATCGATAAATTGTAAATGTAATTGAATCTGATTGTGATTAAATTGATAATTTACGATTATTTAAAGAATATAATACAGTCTGCAAGTAGCTTTGTCGCGATAAAATAATAACATTTTAAAGGCAGGAATTTCGATCTGAATGACACGTATAATTAATACCATTAATTAAATGTAATACATACTACGTATATATATATATGTATGTATATATGTATATGTGTGTATCCCTGATAGTGTACATATGTTGAGATATCGGTTTTTACAGGCGTTCATGACCTCTCTGGTCCTCGCAACACTCCCCTTGGACGTGACCTTGACCCTGAATTAGATCCTTCCGTTCGTACCCCACTACCACTACCTTCTTTGGCTACCAACAACTTGTTCCCCGAAGACGAGGATGTCGTCTACGACAGCCGTGGCCAGCGGAGCCGACGTCAATTCGCTGAGAATTTTGCCAACGACGTGGCAGCGACGACGCAACATCTGAAAGCGAAGCTAGCTTCGATCGGCTTGGAGGACGAGGTGGACGTCGCGTTGGGAAAGTCGAGACGCCTGCGTCAAGAGCAGGACCAACTAGCCGACAATATTCTCAGCTCGAGGCGAAATCTGCAGGACATAAAGTCGATCAGCGAGGAGGCTGAAACTACGTTCAAGAGGCGTTCGAGGCTGTTCGACGAGATCGACCGGTTGGAAGAGAGCAGCAAGCCAGCGCTTATGAAATGGTCGAAACTGATCAACGAGGACGACAGCCTTGCCAATGCTGCCGCGACAAGGGCCAAGCAAACGAAAGCTCGTTTGAACGACCTCGAGTCTGAAATGGAGGAGCTCGCGGAGAGGCAGGCAAAGAGAGAGCGCAGGGCAGCTGCTCTCAGAGCGTTGATCAACGAGAATATATCCGATACGGAGAATCTTCAGGAGCAACAGTCGGCTGCAATCGTTAGCAAGAAAGTCACCATACGCGAACGCTCCGAGAAACACGTCCTCTAAACGTCACAAAGATTCACACATTTGTATGTAATTGGAATTCGTGCTTCGTTTCATTAAAAGTACATACGTGTACAGTACATATCGCGCGTTATCCCAAAGACATGAGTGACCCCCCTCCCCGCCATTATTTACCATTTACTTTCTAATCGATTGTCTGTCATTTGTTCCTGATGATCCTACAGTACGTATGTATGTATGTTTGAACGTTGACGATGTATGTTTGACGTTCAGTCGTTTCAACATTTAAATTGGCAGTATGTAGATGCAGCCAAGATGAAGAAATTTCAATACACTCACATTTTAAGCGAATAATTCATAAAACATTTGTATAAAATTATTCATGTAGTAGAAATACATTAGCAGTGTCATGAAAATTCCAATTAAATTATCGTTTATTTTATACCCAAAAATGTATACAT